TTCTTTTTTGTAATTATGTCACAGCTGGTTTCAAACCTCTCAAATTTCTTGAGCATATTAACCTCCAAGTTCATGAGAGCTATACACTATAGTTGATATACTTTAAACTAGACAGGAATTCCAGCTCAACATCTGTACACTGTCCACGACAGAACCCTGTTCTAATGAAAAGGTTTTAAGCAAGAAGTAGAATATTTGAAATCGGAATGGAATGGAAAGGTCTGCAAATTTAAGAGGTTGTGTTTTAAAAAAAAAAAAAAAATTAAAGAAAAATATAGAAATACTGCGTCGTTAACAATTCTTTAATACATGCAATTCTGGCAAGTTTAAATCATGTTAGTTCTTTGAAAGAGGCCACAGAAAGTCTATCCCACTTTCTAAATCTTCATAGCGTTTTTAGCATTCTTTCTACTTTTGCCGTGATCAAAGCAACTGCTCTCGGTTTGCTTGTTCCTCTGATAAGTGATAAAAGATGTCAGGGAAACTAATGAGAAATGCCTCTAGCTTCTTTCATGAACCCTGTAGAAAAAGAATCATAAAGTATTATCAAACCTACCGCCTTCTGTGGGAAGAGAGGAAGACAAAGGAATATATGCAACAGAATCAGATCAGATAGGCGACAACAGTTCACAGAAGGAGGGTTCTTATTGTAAGGTGCTGTGTATGTCTTTTTATTTTATTTTTATTTATTTATTTTTTTAAGCCAGTGCTTAGAGTTTATGTCAATCAGACTTGACTAAATATGAGATTCTATAACCTTTTATGACTACAGCTTTAGTTAATGGTACGTATGCATGTGCATATGAACGACTTATGATTGGTTGCCATTTCATATGTTGCGTATATGTCACAATGATTGTCTGTTGAGGGTGACATCCCACAGAACACAATGCATTTATTGTTTGTTTTATTTGTCTGTTATTTTTAGGTTCTTTATATTGGTGGATTTAGCAACTAACCAGGTTAATAACACAATTGTTAATAAATCAGGCTTCAGAAAATATGACAACAAAAAAAGGAAACCTAAAAGGATCACTAAAGTCACCTAGGCCACTTCCCTTCAATAAAGTGGCCTGGTTGCAGTGGTCCTGTAAATTTAACCATTTAAGGTAAAACATTGCTGTTTTTCATAAACGGCAATAATTACCTTGAAGCATTACATACACCCCCAGTTGCTCTTACAGTGACAGCCACTGGAGGCCCTTTTGCTGCACTGGCCAAAAAAGCTGACTGACATAACGGCCACTGTTTTCTGTCGTGGACAGTGTGCAGATGTTGAGCTGGCTGACATAACGGCCACTGTTTTGTGGTGTGCAGGTCTCCTTTGAACAGACCTGCCAGGTTCTGAATAGTGCCTGACATGGTCTCCCAGCCTGTCCCCACTCGATATAGACCAGTGCTGGGCTTTGCCAGCTTCCCAGCGCCAATCTCCCACACTACTTGGGTATTATAGGGGTGAGTCCCATTTAAAATAGGAAAATATAATCATCTCTCAAATTTTGTTGAGCGGAGCCCCCCCCCCTTAATGTTATTGACTGCTCATATTGGTCAACAGTTGAGGGTGAGACCCTCACATTATCATCATGGGGTACCATTATACATTGTTAAAGTGATTTTTTTTCTGCATTCTCCCTGGTCAAACTCCAGTTGTACTTGGCAGTAGGGCCTTATTACCTTCCAGTCTTCCATTGACACTTTTCGGACAGGATTTTGTCTACTATCCACCTTGAGTAAGTCTCCTACACAAACATAGATATTCCACTCCAAGATAAACGCTGCCATGGCAGCCTCTGTTGAGAAGTAACTGTTCAGTAGAGAAGGCACTGTTAGTGGGCCTGCTCGAACCACTGGCAAAGATCATGTATATTGTAGACCTGGCGTTGTCACGGAGTACCCAACTGGATCCAAATGCTATAAGGAATGAGCTTATCTATCTATAAAAAAATAAGTCCTGCACTCAAATTCCCACTAATTCGTTAGCGACAGCAATGAATATAGTACACATCAACCCCAATACATACAATAAAACCAAAGAAAAGTGTCACTTGTGTACTATCCCAAATCCCTATAAACATTTAATAACTGGAGGTTTTTAGTATCACTCCAGTGGCCACTTGAGTGTACATTCACCTGCCACATCAAGGCAAACCTCTTAGATGAGTCTTACATTAACAATTCACCTTGCTTCCTTCAGCTCCAGGCAAAGAATCTCTTATGAGACAAAGTGCAGTATTTATACTTTACCAATTTACCTGTCTTCCCTCCGGACTTAGCTCAGCTCCATGGTGCTTCACAAAACATTTAAAGCCAGGTTTGGCTGCTTTCCCGAGTCTTTAGGTTTGTTACAGTGAACCAAGAAAAGTCAGTTCTATCTCATTCCCAGCTTATTCAGTTTCTCAGTTTCATGATAGACTAGATCCTTTGCATACTCTGCTTACCCTTCTCTGATGCGTCCATCAGAACCATATATACTCGAGTATAAGACGAGTTTTTCAGCACATTTTTTGTGCTGAAAAACCCCCACTCGTCTTATATTCGAGTCACTGTCTGTATTATGGCAACTTACATTGCCATAATACAGACAAGGACCGCCGGGCTCATTACAAGCCCGGTGGTCCTGTTGGGGGCTGTAAGAGAGCTGTAACTTACCTTTTCTGCAGCTCCTGTCAGCTCCCTTCTCTCTCCTCCGGTCCGGTCAGCTCCCCTGTCAGCTCCACTGCAACGCTCCGCGAGGCACTCAAACCGCGAGACTTACAGGGGAGCTGACAGGAGCTGACCGGACCAGAGGAGAGAGAAGGGAGCTGACAGGACCTGCAGGAAAGGTAAGTTACAGCTCTCTGTCAGCCCTTCTCCTACACAGCCCATCCACTGGACTACCAAGGAATGAGAGCCCCCCTCCCTGGCCAGCTAACAAGCAGGGAGGGGGACGAAAAAATCTAAATAAATAAAAATGTAAATAATAATAAAACAAAAATTAAAATATTAATAGTATAAAAAAATAATATTAAAATACTAATAATAATTAAACAAAAACATTTATAAAAATGCCCACCCCCCACCAAGGCTCTGCATCACACACAAACACACACACATACACTCTGCATCACACACACACTCATACACACACACTGCACTCATACATAAACACACCACATTCATACAAACACACTGCATTATATACACACACACACTGCATTCATACACACACTGCATTCATACACACACACACCTCATTCATACAAACACACTGCATTCGTTATATACACACACTGTAAATAAATATTCAATTAATATAATTTTTTGGGGATATAATTTTATTTAGAAATTTACCAGTAGCTGCTGCTGCATTTCCCACCCTAGTCTTATACTCGAGTCAATAAGTTTTCCCAGGTTTTTGGGGTAAAATTAGGGGTCTCGACTTATATTCGGGTCGACTTATACTCGAGTATATACGGTAATTGGTCAAATTTTTCTGCTAGATTGCATCTAATTGCTCCTTCTCGCTCCTATTGTGGGTTCCTGTCTTCCTCTATACAAGCTTTCTACACCGAACCTGTAAACTACCAGGTTATGCAACAACTGAAGACGAAACACCTGCGTTTGGGTTAATCTTATGACCAATTGGTTGCTCTTACTCTCGAGGTACGAACAGGACTACATTGGTGGATCCTTCACATGAGGCCTGGAATAGAAAAGCTATATTGGGTCTCTCATCAGATTTCATAGTGGAATCGGATGCAAGTCTTTGGAGCTGTAGAGCACATTGTGTGGATTCTTCCACCAGAGGACCTTGGTTGGATGAAGAAACTGGCCTGGGATTGGTATTGGAGTTTTTGGAGGGAGAGCAGTGATTGGTGGCTAAACAAATCCATCTTTTACATGCTTTACATGCTCAGAGGCCCACTGCAAGTGTATCTCTTTGCTTTTCAGACCAATCGTCCGCTCCCTAGATTCTTCAGTTGACTTCCAGATCCGGAATGCAAAGTAGTGGATGCTTTCCGACAAGTCCGGCCTGTTCAAGTGGTATATGCATTTCCACCATGGCGAGTGTCCTCCATCAGGTTTGCATGCAGGGTATATCCCTTCTTCTCATTGCCCCCCTCTGGCAGAGTCAATCATGATTCCCATATCTGTTGGAATTATCCCATGACCATCCTCTCCTCCTTCTGTTTTCTCTCATACTGGATGTTATTGCTTCCTTGTAGCCTTAAAGTTCAGGTCAGCTCTTCTTTTCATAAATTAAACCACACAAACTAGTATTGACTAATTTGGCGAGATGGATTGCAAGATTTGCAAGTTATCTACGGTTACGCTTTCCAGTCCTTGTCCAGTTGATCTAATTTATGTATATGTGTTCTTGTTAGTTCACTTCAAAGAAAGAGGAAGTACTTGGTCTGTCAGGGCCTTATATCACCTGGTATCTCTTTTATGATTAGTTGTTGGTTTTATGATTGATCTGTGCTACTGGAGTTCAGCAAACCAGCTATACAGAATAGGTTTGAATTCAGGGTAGATATTGGGAGGTAAGTGGCTATATATAAAGGGTCACTGTGATGCACTCAGGTAACCCAATTTCAACTCCATCTATTCTAATTTCAAGTTGAATTTGAACAGGTGGAGGACGTATGGGATGGGTAAGAACAGGGAGGAAGATAAGTGGTTACATGGAAAAGGTTAATGTGGTGACTGCACAGCATGAAACATAACGAATGACTGTCTGCACTGAGTGGGATTAATTTAGAAATTAGATTTTACAGGGCGGACATTATCGTAATCGTCTGTATGGTATGGGTTCAGTTAGAGCAGTGTTTCCCAACTCAGTCCTCAAGGCACACCTACCAGTCCAGGATTTAGGGATTACCCAGTTGTGTCTAAGGTGTTTTTTTTCTTCTTTGTAAAAACACCTTAGACACAACTGGGTAATTCCTAAATCCTGGACTGGTAGGTGTGCCTTGAGGACTGGGTTGGGAAACACTGAGTTAGAGCATGTGGTCAACAGTGAACATATTTGCGGTCCGCCTGCCCTGGGGCCGCTTTCAGCTGTGGCTGCAACCAGCAAGACAGGAAAAATATTTCCGTATTCTTGCTTTCCCGGCCACAAGAGGGCAGAGTGGCTGTGTGCCTCTGAGCAGACGAGAGCAGCCACTCCCCCTTCCCTCCAGCTCGCAGTGTCAGAGGAGTGTGTGACCTGCTTCAGCAGAGCTGAGTAGGAGGACAGACAGCAAATCATAAGGAGAAGAGGGGCTTGGGTGGGGGGGCAGTGTATTAATTTGAGGGAGAGAACTGTATTAGCTTGAGGGAGGGCACTGTAATACACTGGCCCCCTCCTTCAAATTAATACAGTGCCCTCCCCCAAATTAATACAGTGTCCCCTCCCTCAGATTAATACACTGGCCCCCTCCCTCAAATTAATAATCTGAGGGAGGGGCACTGTATTAATTTGAGGCAGGGGACACTGTGTTAATCTTAGGGAGGGGACACTGTATTAATTTGAGGGAGGGGCATTGTATTAATTTGAGGGTGGGAGGGGGCACAGTATTAATTTGGGGGAGGAAGAGGGCCAGTGTTTTGATGGGAGGGAGGGGGCCAGTGTGTTAAATTGGGGGAAGGCAGTGCAGAGTGGTGGTGGGGTCAGTGTGTTAAATTGGGGGAGGGAGAGGGCCAGTGTATTAAATTGGGGAGCGGTGGCAGTGTATTAATGGGAGGGAGGGAGGGAGTCAGGAGGCAGTGTATTAGTTTGGGGAAGTCAGAGGGCCACTGTATTAAATTTGGGAAGGAGGGGCAGTGTATGTATTTGAGGGAGGGAGGAGGCCAGTGTATTAGAGTGGGGGGAGTGTGGTAAATTGGGGGGATGGAGGGCAGTGTATTAAGAGTAATGGGAGTAGGGGCAGTCTATTTAATTTGACCCCCCACACACCCATACACACAGTCTGACCCATACACACACAGACTGACCCACACAGATTAAAGGGCAATGTATTAGATTGGGTGAAGGGAAGCAATGTATTAGATTGGATGGAGGGAGGAGGGACAGTATGTTGGATTTGGGGCAATGTATTGGATTTGTGGGCAGTGTATTAGAGTGGGAGTAGGGGCAGTGTGTTAGATTGGGTCTGCATGGAGGTGCTGAATGTGCCCCATAAAGATGCTGTTTGGCAGTGCAGCTTTTTGCCACACATGCACAATATCCTCCCAATGCTTTCCTATGGGAAAGCATTGGATTGGCTGAGATCATCAAGTTTTTTGTTTTTTTTAGTAAGCAATTTTTATTCACAAACATGCATGAATAAGACAGTTGGGGGGGGCGTCAATTGATAAGTTATCTGCTGCAACTTGGTGCTTAGGGTGCAAGCCCATTGCGCTTTTCATTTGCTCATTACATCTTGTGGCTTTTTCAAACTAAACCTTGGGGTGGGAAACTTGGGTAGGTCAGGGAGGAGGGAGAGGGGGGAAATGGTCCCCTGGACTGTGAGTCTCTCCGGGGGTTGGGTTTGCTTTGTACCCTTTTGGACCTTTACTTCGTCTGACCTGTTGTTTTATTGGCCCTGCTGCGGGCCATGGAGGCCAGTTCTGTGTGTGATTCTGTTTAGGGAAAGGCCAATCTGAGGCTCAATGGTGGCCTAAGCCTGAGGTAAGCGAATGCTCAGTGCCATCCCGTCACTTATATACTTTGTCTATTTTTTATCTTCACCCGTTTTAGTTAATTTCTTTACACAATTTGCTTATATGAGTGCGGCTGTCGGTGCTGTGGATGGGTCTGGCCCCTTGGTGGTAGGTGTGTTGGCATTTAAGAGGAGGGAATGTTAAAATTGTCTGTCCCTGTACCAGTTGTGTGATGTATTTGATGTGATGTCTTTCCCATAAGTGGGAGATAAAGTCTGGGATTAACATCTGTAATGTGGAGATCGTCATTGCCGGGGAGTATGCTTTTGTTCTGCATAGAGTGGCTCTGTGGGCCTCCCAAATACGTTTAGTCGAAGCTGTAGTTGGCAACATCTGTGTATTCTTGGGTCTGAGGAGGGGAGGGGTCCACATGATCGATAGAAAGTGTTGCCCTGGTTCTGAGCCAGACTCAAGTGCTATCCACTGTGGGTGTTTCTCTTGGGTTTGTGCTGTGATAATGGGGTTGATGTTGGCTGCTCTATAGTACTGTTGTAGGTTAGGGAGGTTCATGCCTCCTCTCGTATGGCGTCTGTACATCGTGGTTATGGCTACTCTGGGTTTGTGTTGCACCCATATAAATTTATTCAATAGTGCTTGGTTTTCTGTGAAAAAGGGCACCTGAACTTTTATGGGGAGGGTCCTAAATAGGTATTGGTATTTTGGGAGAATTATCATTTTTATTGCGGCTACTCGGCCAGTCCAGGAGATAAATTTTTTTATGCCATCCCTGAAGGAGTGTTTTCACCTGATTGTGTAGTGTTGTGTAGTTTGCCTTGAAGAGGTGGGTGAGTGATGCCGTAAGTTTTAAACCTAAGAAGGTAAGGTGATCAGTTCTCCAATCATAGTTGAACTGGGATTTCAAGTTTTGCATTCATTTGCTGGGGAGAGTGAGGCACATGGCTTGTATTTTGGTCACATTCAATTTATAGTAGGAACATTTACTGTAGGCTTCTAGGAGAGCTGTGAACTGTTTGAGGGAGGTCTCTGGGTTGGATATTGTAAGTAGTATATCGTCAGCAAATAGTGAATTTGTATTCTTTTTGTTTCACCCGTATGCCTGGTATGTGTGGGTTATTGCGAACTAGAGTGGTCAAGGGTTCCAGCGCCAGGATATATAGGAGGGGGGACAATGGGCATCCTTGGCGTGATCCATTAGAAATGGTCAGTGGGTCTGAGATGAACACGCTTGTGGTGACCCTGGCGAGGTGTTGTTGTAGAGTGTAGTTACTGCTGCTAGAAATTGCGGCTGGAAATTAAATTTATTGAGCACTCCCAGGAGGTAGTGCATTAGGTTCAGCACTTTCCTGGTCCTGTCCGCCCCCTGTCGGCCTTTCACAAATCTTACTTGATCATCATGTACAATGGTTGGGATTATGTTTGCTAACCTGTTGGCAAAAGTTTTAGTGTCAAGAGCTTGGTTTGTGCTGCTTTTTTGATGTGTGCCGCTTGGCTAATGAGTATTCCCTTGATTACTGACTTGTGGGCCAGCCATTGTGTCAGTGCTGTGCTGTCTGGGGTGTCATTGGTTTTAAAGTACTCCTGTAGGTCTTTGTCCAGTTTCAGTTTGAAGTGCTCGTCAGTTAACAAGGACTCGTTGAGTTTCCATGGAGCTCTGCCTCTGGATTTGAATGTCTCTGTCAGGGTTATTGGGGCGTTACAAAATGTCTCCTGTCTTGCATTGTGTTGTCTTAAGTAGGGTTGGGGCTGATGTCAAAATGTGGTCTATTCTTGAGTGGCTCTTATGAACTGAAGAGTAATGGGAGTACGATCGTTCTCTTGGGTGTAATGTTCGCCACGAGTCATATAAGCCGAACTCAGATATACGTTTTGTCATGGACGTGCATTGCGTCTGTAGTGTTTTACGTCTTGGTTGGTGTGGTGTGGTGTGGCGGAGGTGTCCAGTTCCAAGTCAAAAAAGTGGTTAAGGTCCCCGCAGACTATTAGTTGTTCAGTTTGGGGTGGGTCTAGTTTCAATAGCACTTTATGGACGAAATTCCTTTGGTTTACATTTGGGCTGTATATGTTTGCTATCTTGTATATAGTATCATTAATCTTGCAGGTCATTATTATATACCTGCCTTGGTTATCTGTGTTTAGTGTAAGTAGTTCAAATGCTTGTGATCTACGTATCAAGATTGACACCTCTCTTGCTTTGGAAGTGTGTGCTGCGTGGTATTGAGTGCGGTAATCCTTGGTGCCAAAGGAGGGAATTCTGTATTTGACAAAGTGTGTCTCTTGTATGCACAGAATGTCAGCCTGGATCTGTTTTGCGTCTCTCAATTACATCCTACGTTTGTGAGGGGCATTCATTCCCCTCACATTATGCGAGTGTATAATCAGCATTTAGGGATGTAAGGTTAGGTCTGCGGTCTCTCTGTTCGGTTGTAGCGCTAAAGCAGGTTTGGGTGTGAGTCCTATTCCATGGCACTCTTGTTCTGTGGGCCTGGGTGGTAACGTGACATTTAATACTAGCGTTAATCTGTTTTGGATTTAGTCCGGTGGTTATTACATCTTGTACCAGACCTGGGTTTGGGGTAGTGTGGTTCCATTTGGTACAGTTCTTTTTAAAGCCAGGGGTAGGGTTCCAGAGGGGGTGGCAGGAGGGTTGCCTTCTCTCCCCAATCATTATTCAGAGAGTGGTAGAAACCCCTTGTGTGCCAGAGGGTGGGGATAAGGGTTCCGTGTTCATGGGAGGGATGTCCGTCCTATTCCCCAATAGTGGCGTTACTTCAGGTCTACTCTGGGACCCCAGGTGTAATGGGTGCAAGGGGTAAGGTGTCTGCTTTTGGTGTGGCGCAAATCATATCCCCTCTATAACATGACAAATAGCTACATGAATGTAGTAAAGTTGAAGCCTAAATACCATGGCTCCAAGTATCTCAGCAATCATCACCATTAACCTCCCCAGGGATTTAGTTGTGGTTCTCCCCTGGTTACTGGTTTTAAGTGCAGCCTGGGGGGCTAAAAGTCCGCTATGGAGAAAGGCATTTCGCCCATTTCTCATCCCTCTTTTGGTTGTGTTATCCCTATATCTGGCGTTGGATTCACTGGAATAGGCTCCAGTTCCCTTCTCCCATTTAGTGACAGTGATTGCTTTGTCTTAACCCTTTCTTGTTTCCCCTTGTAACGCCCGGGACCCTGAGTTTGCCTGGCTTCCCCGGTACAGGTGGATAGTGAAGAATTATTAGCAGGCTTTGCTTTTTTTTTTTGCCCGTTTTGCTTATGGGTTGTGGTGGTCACGTCATAGGGAGTAGTATGGGCACTCGGGGGAATATGTAAATTTTCTATCTATTGACATTGACATTTCAGCATATGCATTAGTACATTGGCTTCCTAGAGCCCATTTCAGAACAAAAATTATTAGGGTGAACCTGCAACATTAAAGCTTAAGAGATACTTGCTGTGCTGAGAGTTTGTGCGCCCAAGAGGCAATTCAGGGCAATTAGGTGTTTTGCGCCAGTCCAGTGGCAGTCTCTTGGGTTGGGTGGCTGCTTGTTTGTCAGGTAAATTTTCAAGTCCCCACGATCTCATCTAGCAGAGGCCGTGTTTAGGGGAGGTGATGGAGATCATTTTCCCTTCTCTGTTGATCAGCATTTTGACTGGAAATCCCCAGCGGTATCATATGCCATTGGATCTAAGAGTCTCCACGATCGGAGCAGTGTCGCTGAGGAGAGATCCGTGAATAGCTTCACCGTCGGGTATTCTTCAGGTGGTTTCACCTTGTTCCTGCTTGCTCTGAGGATGTGCTCCTTAATATGGTAGTAGTGAGCACGCAGAAGGACATCCCTGGGGGCCGTGTCAGGTAGGTGTCTGGGCCGTGGGACTCTGTGCATGTCAGTAGGGATTTCGGGTGCAAATGCATGGAGGAGGCCCCTCATGCAAGCTGGTAGTTCTGTCGGCAAGACACTTTCAGGCACTCCTCATTTGATGTTATTGTGTCTCGCACAGTCTTCCAGGTCGGCTAGCTTTGTTTCAGTATGCTCCCGTCTGGCCTCCAGGTCTTCCACGTGGCTTGCTAGATCATTATGAGCAGAGGTAAATTCCTTAATTTAGTTTTCAGTGTATGCTGTGCGTTGGGCTAGTTCTTTCACGTCTGCCATAAAGCAATCAGTTTTAGTAAGATAGCCCACTGTGAGTTTCCCTTGTGGAGTTTCCATTTTGGTTCCCTCCTTGTTGCAGGGTGTCTGTTCCCTCCATGCTGTCGCCATCTTTATTTGAGGCCTGTTGGTTTGCTTGGTCAGGCGCCGTTTTTTGTGTGAAAAAATAGATTTTTTTTCTGCCTTAGTATTCATCTTCTTGTTCTTAGGTTGAGACATCGTCTATTTGAGGCTTTTATTTACAGCTTGTACACTTGGATGGTGCTGGATTCAAAGCTATTGAGCCGGAGCTGTGGGTTATGCTTCCACCATGCTCGGCAGCTAGCCACGCCCCCCTGATATCATCAAGTTTGATGATCTCATCCAAAGTGAAGAACACACTCATAGAACATCAAAATAAACAAGATAACGTAATTTGTTTTTTACTGCTGTGCAACAGCATACATTCACCATTTCAGTCCCATTACCAAACTTTTCTTAATATGTGAACGTAGTCGGACTGAAACGTTGTTTATATGCAAATGCATTTCTTAAAATAAATGTGCTCTTTTGTTTATTGAAAAATTGTAATATTATAGCAATACAGTATTTGGAACTGTAGGCTAAAATATTGTCACACAATGTAACAGCAGATAAAAAGCTGTTGTTACATTGTGTAACTACATTTTAGCCTACAGTTCCAAATACTGTATTGCTATAATATTACAATTTTTCTATCTGCATCTTTATAAGATACTAAGTATATCATTTGGTACAAGTGCCAGCCATTCTGCTCTATAGCAGTAATAGAGGCACTTGCACTGCACATTTTTGTTCCAGACATATTTTTACCTATTTATCTATCTTTTATTATTTATTTACTATTCATTATCTATCTATCTGATTATATTCATTTATCTTGCTTTTACATTCTCTTGTGGATTTTAGTTCTTTCTTAAAGGCACAGCACCATTATATACATATCTTCTCTTGTATCCAGATATATACTCATTTAAGCCATATTCTAGGTCAGCTCCTGGTATTTGTAGACATTATTGGTGTCTTTCCATAGTATTTCTTTTATAGGTTTTAGTGGATCCCTATTTTTTCCAGTTTTTTGAGCAGCCTAGTGCCAGTCCTACTCCCTCACTCCTGGGCAACACATTAGGTGTAACAGAATCAATTATCTGATAGCTACCATGCCACACCACATTGAGGCAGTAATTGCTGCAAAAAGGGCACAAAACAAGTACTGAGTCCATATGCATTCTTATACTTTTCAGAGGTCCGATATTGTTCTATGTACACTCCTTGTTTTATTGATTGCATGTAATATTCTAATTTACTGAGATTGTGGATTTGGGGTTTTCATGAGCTGTAAGCCATAATCATCGCACTTATGACAAATCACGGCTTGAACTATCTTGCTTTGCATGTAATGCGTCTATCTCATATATCAGTTTCCCCTTTTACGTTGCATTACTGAAATAAATGAACTTGGCATGTTATCCTCAAACACCTGGTCAGCTTGTAACTTTTGCCCTCCTGCTCTACAGCCTAGTGTAGATTGTGAGGGGGCGGAGCCTAATTTGAGGGACGGGAACTAACATGAGGGGGCAGAACCTAGTGCCTCCATCTACAGAGAGCCTGGGCCAGGAAAGGCCCTGCAGGAGCTGGTTAAGGACAAACTGAACATTGTACAAAGCTAGACTAAATGGCGCTGCCAGCATAAACCACAGTATTCTACACCTGTAAGATTGCCAAAATGTCCCTTTTGTCGATTTTGGAGAATTTGTCCTAGTTATTTTGGCCACATTTTTTTCAATTTGTTTTTCAATTTACCAAAATTAATATTTACTAAGTAAACATTTGTATCCATGTGTGTATCTACTGGACATCAAAGAGGCCAAGGGCCTTAATTCACACAGGGGCCTAGATTGCTTTCAGTCTGTCCCTGCACACCTTCCACTCTACAGCTATCCGACACACTAGTTTTTTGCTTCAAATTTTGTAGCTAGATATCTTTCAAACTCTACAGCTATCCGACACACTAGTTTTTTGCTTCAAATTTTGTAGCTAGATATCTTTCAAACTTTCTATGCTGCACTTACTAAACTAAGATCTATTTTAAATGTTTATTCAAAACTTTAAGTGTGTTCATACGCTTCTGATATTCTCATTAAGCTACACTCTTAAAGGGACTAGAACCTATTGTAATTGCTCATTTAACTGTTCCACGTAATTATTGTAATTGACTAGTGGCATTATATACTGTATGAAACTGCTTGTAATTTACATATCGTTAGACTTGATGACTCTGGCCCAGGGCTGGGCTCCAGTTTATGTTGAAAAATGGTTGCAGATGGAGTCACTGCTGATATTGAACTGAAGTGGGGCTTCTCTAAACCACGTAAGAAAACAATTAACTTGCTTTGCTAAGCAGAAATGGCATTAAGCCCAAATAATGGAGTTTCTACCACGTCAGGCTGTGGTTGTCTATGTTTGTGCAAGAACAACATTCATAATATGTTTGTTTGTCAGTCCTGGCAGTGAGTACTGTTAGAGATTCACATAATGAAGTACAGTTTGTCCCTTTTTCATTGTGACTTTATGATTAAAGTACCACTATAGTGACAGGAAAACATACTCATTTTCCTGGCACTATAGGGTCTCTAACTCTCCACTCCCCCCCACTCTTAGGGTCCCCCTCCCGCCGGGCTCTAGGGTGAGGTGGGGGTTAAACACATACCTTTTCTCCACCGTTGGGCTCCCTCGGCTGTGGGGAATCTCCGCCTCCTTTCCCCGTCATTGACTGAATTCGCATGCGCGGCAAGAGCCGCGCACTCATTCAGCCAGTCCATAGGAAAGCATTCTCAATGCTTTCCTATGGACGCTGGTGTCTTCTCATTGTGAAAATCACAGTTAGAAGCGCGGAAGCGCCTCTAGTGGCTGTCAATGAGACAGCCACTAGAGGATGGATTAACCCATAGGTAAACATAGCAGTTTCTCTGAAACTGCTATGTTTACAGCAGAAAGGGTTAATCCTAGATGGACCAGGCACCCAGACCACTCCATTAAGCTGAAGTGGTCTGGGTGCCTATAGTGGTCCTTTAACTGACTCAGATTAAAACTAACAATTTGTTGTTACTGTTACTCTAATCAAAAAAACAGTTTGAATCCTTTTCGAATCCTGTTCGCAAGCATAATTAGAGGAACTCTTATTGTTAGGAATACCAAGTTGTATTCTTAACACTATAGTGCCATCTGTTCCCCCGTCCTCCACGGCCCTTGCGAATGGCACATAAAGGGTTAAACACTCTATTTCCTTACTCAATTCCAGTGACAATCTCCTCAGCACTGGGTCGGTGCTTCACCTCCTCAGACAGGGGGGACCTAATGCTCATGTGCGGCTAGTGAATCAATGCTTTCCTATGGGAAATTTACTGATGCTGGATGTCCTCATACAGAGCATGAGAACGTCCTACATTGTTTAAGGAACTCAGAGTTCGCTAGACTCTTGGAAGTGGCTCTCTGGTAGATAGCCACTAGAGGTAGTCTTAGTACTGCAATGTAAACATTGTAGTTTCTCAAAAACTGCTATGTTTTTCATTGCAGAACCAAGTGGGACAGAGACCGTGCACCCAGACCACTTCAATGAGCTGAAGTGGTCTGGGTGCCTATAGTGTTCCTTTAAAGACCTACAGGTATCTATATGAACCCTTTTTTTTCATATCACTTTGATAAACGTTTTATATGCAAACAACATAGCCTCTGCACTATAACTATTATAATGGACTGTAGTAGTTAGAGTGATACTTTAATCCATACTCCTACTATGAAATGATACCCTGTTCATTGCAAGTGCAACATTTATTTGGTTTCAGTAATATATAGGAGTTTTGTATGAAATCCTTGTGTACTGAAAACTGGTCTAAAGTACTGAAGGTGGGGCAGTCACCATGGAAACCAGAGGAAGGTGCAAGCATCCTTTTCTATATTTACACCACTATTCAGAACAGACACTTATTCTGCATAACTCCCATACTTGGTTAATTTTCTTCAATGTTAACTTTCAAGTTGTCCATACTTCCAGTACAGGTAATTCACACCAGCTGTTAATATTCTACTTCTGGAACTTAGTTTCCAGTTGCCGGTCTGTCTTCTATGTATAAATGCTGTTGTTTCTCTGTAATACACCTGGATTTAGTTAAAACAAAAAAAACATAAGACTGCATGTCTGCTTTTTGTAGGAGAAAAAAATGCCAGCAGGCAGACAAGACAGACAAGTGTTTTACAACAAACACTTTGGCACCATCTAGTGGTGTGTTAGAAGATTATATTTGTTTACATTATCATTTGTATCCATTTCAAAATACTAATTTTGTGAATGATTTGAAACTATAGAAATATTACCTGCTGTTTAAAATCTGTTTAAATATGAGTTTGCATACTTCCTTGACATTGTGGAAGATTTAGGGCAGTGGTGCCCAATACGTTGATCATGATCTTCCAGTCGATCGGCGATGCCGGTAGATCGTGGCTGGACAACACTATTTAATCATGTGGACGAGCAGTATGGAGGTGTTTTGTAGAAGGGGGATACAGGAGCTTTGTAGCAGGTTGGGCCAGCAGACTGTGAATGTGCCTAGGGGGTTTCAGTTCCAAATCTCAAGTGTCCCTCTTTTGGTGGAATTGTCTCTCTTTCCTATGCTGTTGTCCCTTTTTTCAAGATGTTTGGTATTTGTAAATGTATTAAAATGTTTTATATAGCAATACAGTTCCCAGTAATATGTGTTTAAAGCCTTAACGCCGATAGGGAGCCACTCTGAAAAAGCAGGGCCTTAACACAATTAGGGTAGCATAGTAAAGTTACCTGGGCCCTATATATGTTTTGGATGTCTCCCCCTCCCAATTCCTTGGTTGTATATATATATTCCAACAGTGATCTGAGCATACACAGAGATTGGCGAAAATAACAAAAGCT